CCCTGGTAACCTCCGATGTGTGCTCTGTCACTGTGGATTCCCCTATCCTGCATATGTTATATAAAGGGAATCATACAACATGTGACCTTTGTGTCCCTCTGCTTCAACTTGGCATACTGTTTTCAAGGTTCCCTATTCCATTATCAAGGATGTGTGTGATTACATTGGCCCCTACAGAATATCCAGGATCGTCTCCCTACTTGAAGATCTGCTGGCTAGCTGCTTTGATTCCATATGCACCCTCGATTCTGCTTTGCCATATTAGGTAACTTATTTATCAATTCCAGAGATTAGGGTATGGACATCTCTGTGTGTGTGTGTGTGGGGGGGGGGGTGTCATTATTGTGCGTATGTTAGAAGATACTAGAATGTGCCAAGGCATTACCTGGGAGACTCCCTGCAGCGGGTCAGCTCCAGAAGCAGAGTGCATGGGCTACAGAAGTGGGCCAGGCTGGATGGAGGCAGTGCACAGACTGTGGACTGGATACTCATCCAGGTTTTGGATGGGAGCAGGAGGATAAGAAATGAGGAAGGGGTTGACAGTGGGAGAGATGAAGTGAGCCAGACAGGGCTCACCAAACGTTAGCATGTATTCAGTCCCAGAGGAGTTTAAACATGCACACTCCCTCCCACAACTGCAGAGATTTTGACTTAGGGTGGGTGGGATACAGGACCTAGTCCAGGGAACTCTGATGCAGTCAGTGGGTGAGGCCGCTGCTTGAAGAATGCTGATGCAGATCCCTGAGGGCTTAAAAACTGAAACAGCAGGAGGCAGGAGCTCAGAGGTTGGAAGAGTAAGAGGCTGTGAGACACACTGGGACTCTAAAGCTTGGGAGTCCTCGAAGCTGCTGAGCTCAGTCCCACCAGGAGGTTTCTTACCAGGTGCATGCTACGGCTGCCTTACGCAATGTGAAGCTTTCTCGTAGACACATTGAAGGGGAAATAGGCGGAAATCAATTCTAATACTATATTTTATTTAACTCAACGTAACCAATCTATTATCAAGTGATATATAATTCATATAAAATTGAGACCTTTTACATTCCTTTTATTTAGTGAGTCCTCAAGTGTATTTCCTTTTTATAAAGAATTGTTTATTTTTAATTAATTAATTAATTAAAATTTTGACCAGAGAAAGATTCAGAGAGAGAGAGACACGGAGAGAGAGAGAGAGAGAGTCAGAAAGCAAGCCAGCAGGCCCTGGACTTGAATCTCAGTCGGCCATATGGGAGTGCCCACCACTTTAACTACCATGCCACCTGCTTGCCCCGGAGTCTTCAAGTGTATTTCAAGCATGTAGTGTGTCTCGATTTAGGTCAACAATGTCGCAAGTGCTCAGTGGAGCTCTTCCTCCATCTCTCTGAATGGCTGGCTATCTCATTTGGGTCTCTTCCCAGAGAGACACCTGATCTCACCATGCTGTCTAAACCAGCTATCTTCCCATTCCTAACCTTGCTTACATTTCTTCAAATATCACTTTCAGATATTTGATTATTTGTTTTTCTATCTCCCCATAGACTCTAAATTCCACAAAGGCAAAGACCTGTCTTCTTTAGTGCTGGATCCCCAGAAACTACATCACATCACATCAAGACTCTCTACAAATATTTGTTGCATGACTTGACATCTCCATATTCGTTCCTTGACATCTTGGAAGCCAGCGTCCATCAGGGGAAGTGAGGAGGTTGGGGTGGAGAGAAAGGAACATTATGCAAGATATACAGTGGGAGAAAGCTAGTCTAAAAGCCTTCTGTGAGATAGGGGCTTGCTCACAGATGTCAAGTTAAGGGCTGGAGCTCCTGGTTCCAGCAGCTATGACTGGGCTGTGTGCTTACTCAACCGCAGGCTTACCTGGTTTTATGAGAAGCCACCCCACCAAGTGGCACTTCTGCCTGCTACCAGTAGATGGGGCAGTATCATAAAGGACAGCGCAGTTTCTACTCATTCCCAGCTCCGTTTTGCCCATGCTCTGTTCTGGACCTACCCTGTGCCTTGCATCCTGGATCTTCCATATGGGCTCCTAAAGGGTGCATTCCAACAGCTTTCCCAGCTGAAGAGATGCAGCCTCACTTGCAACCTGTGCTTTTAGCTGGGGTGGCCAGCCTCTCCACAAGGTAGGGTGGGCCCAGAGGCTGGCCTGCGCCCTGGTTCAGGCTGCAAGGACACAGCTGGGTTCCCTTCCTGGGTCTTTAGCACAGAACATGACTCACACCCTGGGCGTTCACATTTGCCCGGCACCTTTTTGCTCTTCCAAGGTGGGAGAGCAACCTTCTTATTAAGAAGGTAGGCAAGGTAAGACACAAGCTAGTCAACAGGAGCAGCTCTGGCAGCCTATGCCTCTAGGGCTGGCACCCCCACCCCCATGGAAAAGCCTGGCTCTCTGGTGGACTCCTCTTTGCCCCTGTGGTCTGCTGGTTAACCCGCCACCTGCCAGGAAGTGCCAGGTGTGCCTCCTCCAGAGGTAGAAAGCAGCTTCGAGAACCTGCCCTTGCTCTATCTTTTCTCCAGAACCTTCTGACTCTTGGTCCTTCGGGCACTTGGCAGTGCTAGCTGCTTGAATGTGATGTCCACTTGTGAGTTTAGACATCGAGATTATGACCCAGCTAAAGTCACTCAGCACAGGTTAATCTGGTGAGATTTTTTTTTTATTTTAAGAATTATTTTTTTATTTAATTCCAATGGTTATGATTATTATTATTTTACTTAATGACAGAGAGAGAGAGCAAACCACCAGGTCCGGGACTTGAACAGCAGTTTGCCATGTAAGAATTCAGCGCTTTTAACCACCATGCCACCTGCCAGCCCCAATCTGGTGAGTTTTGACCAAAGTTTCTTTTTTGTTCTTTGAAGCACATTCTGTCTACTGAGCAGGAAGGCATTATGGCTATGGTCAAAGGACACCTTGGGGTCACCTAGGTGTGAAAGGGCCATTCCTTTCCTCAGAAACCAGACGGGCCCAAAAAACACGGATCAGGAAACGTTCTTTCATTGCTGCAAACACGATACTCTGTCCAGACCTGTTTGGACAATTGCCATGCTTTGTAACTCTGTTGTCAGATATACCTGGAGGGTCCTTTCATTCTTTCCTCTTGGAGAAATCCAGTTCATCCTTCAAATGTCACCATCTCCATGAAACCTTTTCTGATTTTTCAAGTTGGAATGAACTGTATCCACTTTAGCCTTCTCAGAGATTCTGGATCTTTCTCAGAGATCGAGCCCATTCTGTCTTTTATTCAGTCTGTCTCGTTCATTAGCTGGACGAGCATTTAATAAGTGCCCACGTGTAGCATGCACTGGGGCCATAGGGTATTTTCACTTAAACTTCTTTTTCCTTTGTTTTACAAATATACATATATATATATATACACACACACACACACACATATATATATATATATAATTTTAAAATTTGCATAGAGTGTACATGCTTACCAGAGAGACAGAGAAAGGGAGAGTGAGAAAGCACCCCCAGGAGGCATGGCCCTTCCACAGTCCCTTCTCCTTCATTCTCCTCTTGGGATTTTAGGCACGCACGCACTCATACATGCCAGGCATGTTCTTCAAGCCACTAGGTCCAGGACTGAAACCACGCAGTCGGCCATGTGTGATCCTGCTGCCCTAACCACCACGCTACCCACTGGCCCATTCACAGAGCCCGCGTTCCAGTGGAAGTGCAGAGTTAGATGGCATTTACACCCTTCATTAGACTGGGAGCTTCTTGAAAACAAAATTGAGTCTGTTCCCAGCTGAGGACCTAGTTCCAAAGGTACTCAGAAAAGTTAGTTAAACTGAAACTCAGCACCAACAACTGAGAAAATTGGGTTAGAGTTCAAAGGAAGGTTAAAAGTTGGCAAGGGTGCAGGGCCAGGGAATTTCTGGGAGCAACTGCCTTGGCTCTGACATGAAGACCTGGTACAGAAGCCAGAGACATCCAAGATCCTCAGAGGACCCGGCCTATGGGGGGGGGGCACTGTCTCCCTCAACCATGAGCCTGGGAGTTTGGTGCAGGATCATCCGGATGTTTATCACACATTCCAGCAAGGAGTCTTTGCTTTGATTAAGAAGACCATAGAGGCAAGCAGGTTGTTTTAAGGGCCCAGAGATAAGTTATTACTAACCAAGGGTCAAGCTGGTCAGATGACTACAGCTACATCGTGCAGTTGGCACAAGAAAAAAGCATGATGAACGCAATTAGCACTGCCATTGGAAAATGGCCAGGCATCATTTGACACTGAAATAAAAAATGCCATTTGAATTTTTACTAGGCATTCTCATCCAAAATGTTTCAACCATACAATAAAACTGAATGACTGGTCTGCCAAAGTAAACCGAATTCTAACCACACACAAGCATGACATGGAGACTGTATGTATGTCAGAGAACTGCTCTGCTCTCAGGCCTGACAGCAGATGAGGTGGGAAAAGAACCCTACGTTTTGACTCCAATCATTTGTTCATTCCAACACTTTTCATTATCTACTGCGTACCTGACTACACCGGGCTCCAGATAGTGAACGATACGCCTGCCTTTTTCCTTACCGCTCTGTTTTCTTTAATTAAACACGGAATTAAAAAATAGAAAATAATATTATTAAACGGCGTCCAGTCATTCTCAGAGAGTTGTCACACAAGGGGAAAAAAGGCCAAACACTATTTCCCAGGCTTTTTGCACAGGAAATTATAGTCTACAATCTCATTTTCCACTACCTCCCCCAGAAGTTTCGATCTAGACATACATTTACGCAGCGAGTTGCAATTCAACCTGGGGGTGGAGTGTCAGAGTTCAAGTTCCTTTTGCTGCGGGGTAACCCCAGGTCTTGGTGATTTCTGTAGATAAAAGAGATGCGGGTGAATTTGGGATATAATTGCCACATTGGACCGACCTTCCTACTGTCTTGACCAATGGCTGCGACCGGGTCCCTTTAAGAGACCAGGAATTGGCCCCTCGTCGGAGCCGAAACGGATCCTCTCCTCCGCTCCTCCCCTGTCCCCGCTCGGCTAATGGTTCGCGCCGGCCTATATTTACCCGAGATCTTCCTCCCGGACCGCAAGGATGTGAGGCAGGCGAGCCGGACACCGCTCGCAGCTCGGGAGAGGGCGCGCTGCAAAGGCGGGCAGCCAACCGAGGAGAGCTCGGGAGCCGAGTCGGACACCCTCGGAGGGGGAGAACTGGGGAAGCGGCGGTCCCCGAAGCCGACCATGCGCGCTCCCCGCCCTCAGAGCCCAGCGCTGCCCTGGCCGAGCCAGCCCCGACAGTGAGCCAGCCAAGCGCGAGTCCCCGGCGTCCGGCCGGGGCGGAGATGCAGTGACCACGGCGGGACTGCTGCGCGAGGCCCACCGCGGCCGGCCAGACCCACCTTCTGACCGCACTTTGGGCAAGCTGCTGATTCTGGGACCAGCCCAGCCGGGGGGGTTCTCCGTCTCCAGCACTCCTTGGGGGCGGGGAGCGCTGGCCACCGGGCACGCTCGCTGGAGTTTCCGCGATTTCTGGCCCCAGCCCCCGGGGTTGTGAGTGCCCGAGGCCCTTTGCACGTTTCTGCATATCCCCTACCGTCCTGGGTGCATCTGCTGGGGCTCCCGCTATTTATTTGCCCGCGCGCGTCTAGCCTTTTTCTGAGACATTTTCCGCTCCACTCTTGTTCCCTCTTTCATTTCGTTGCTTTCCTGAGCTCCTTTGCCCTCGTCCTTACCCAGACTGTGTCTGCCCGCCCCCCGCCCCGTTTGGCACACTCTAAGCTCAATATTTTCTTCTCTTTAAAAAAATTCTGTCTCTACTCCTGCGGACTTCCCAAGCACTTTCCCGCTACCTACCCCCCCCCCCCCCCCACCCGGGCGGCGCCGGGGGCCCGCCGCGGCAGGCGTCCAAGCCTAAGGGCTACGCTGTGAGCCTGCACTACTCGGCGCTCAGCTCGCTGGCGCGGGCGTGCCCCGAAGGCGCGCTCAGCCGAGTGGGCAGCATGTTTCGCTCCAAGCGCAAGAAGCTGCACATTACCAGCGAAGATCCCACTTACACCGTGCTCTATCTGGGCAATGCTACCACCATCCAGGCGCGCGGCGACGGCTGCACCGACCTGGCGGTGGGCAAGATCTGGAGCAAGAGCGAGGCGGGCCGTCAGGGCACGAAGATGAAACTGACCGTGAGTGCGCAGGGTATCCGCATGGTGCACGCGGAGGAGCGCGCGCTGCGCCGTCCGGGCCACCTCTACCTGCTGCACCGCGTCACCTACTGCGTGGCGGACGCGCGACTGCCCAAGGTCTTCGCCTGGGTGTACCGGCACGAGCTGAAACACAAGGCGGTCATGCTACGCTGTCACGCCGTGCTGGTGTCCAAGCCTGAGAAGGCGCAGGCCATGGCCCTGCTGCTCTACCAGACGTCGGCCAACGCGCTGGCAGAATTTAAACGCCTCAAGCGGCGGGACGACGCGCGTCACCAGCAGCAGGAGCTGGTGGGCGCGCACACCATCCCGCTAGTGCCATTGCGCAAGCTGCTCCTGCACGGACCCTGCTGCTACAAGCCGCCGGTGGAGCGCAGCCGTAGCGCGCCCAAGCTCGGCTCCATCACCGAGGACCTGCTCGGCGAACAGCAGGAGCAGGAGCTGCAGGAGGAAGAAGAGGAGGAACATCCCGAAGGCTGCCTGGAGGAGGAGGAGGAGGAGGAGGAGGATCATACAAGGGAAACGGATCCAGCAGAGGAGGAAGCTGAGGCGCAGCGGGCGCTGGTGGTGGCCATGCACTTTGAATGCGGGGACTTGCTGGACACGCTGGAGAATGGCCGCGAGGAGGCGCTGGAGGGCGGCAAGGTTTCGCTGGGCGCGGGGTCCGCGTCGCCGCCTCTGCTGCTGGGCAGTGCCTCGGACATGAAGGCCGAGCTGTCGCAGCTCATTAGCGACCTGGGTGAGCTCAGCTTTGGCAACGACGTGCGCACCCTGCAGGCCGACCTGCGGGTGACACGCCTGCTGTCGGGCGAGAGCACTGGCAGTGAGAGTTCCATCGAAGGCGGAGGGCCGGATGCCACCTCTGCCACTGCCGGGGACCCATCCAGCCCCACGGACAGCGCCAGCCCAGACGATACCCACTCGGGCTGAGTTCCCAGCAGACTCCTCCGTGTGCCCCAGGAGCTCCCTCCCTAACCGTGTCCCCACCACGTCCCCACCCTAGCTCGCTCCCAGAAAACGGAAAATGGGGATCTTGCGGTCCAGACTTCCCTTCAGGTCTCAGGTCCTGAGTACCCCCGGCCGCCGCCCCCGCCCCTAGTGTTCCAACACGTTGGTTCTGTTTGAAGACAGAGCAGGTTGCTTGTGGGGAGATGTGAGAGGGGG